CCGAGCAGCCGAGCTCATCGGCAGCGGACTCCCACATCTCGTGCAGTATCATGCAGAAGGAGACAGAGCATGTTGGAGGAGGTGGCGGGTATGAGGACGACATGACGGTCATGCCATGGATGGAGGTGGCAGTGGGCGAGAGGTGGTATCGAAGCCGGGAGAAGGGTCGATGACTCGACTTGCGCATCGCCATCGATGGTGGAGAGATAGGCGGTTCGACGATACCAATGGGGAGGCACGGTAAGGTGTGGATGTGTGTGAGGCTATCTGCACTTGCAGCCGCCGGCAGGGTGCGATCAGCGTGAGCTGGGAGAGCGGAGAGAGACAAGATCAACAAACTGCCGCAGTATGACTTCAAAGTCGACGAAAAGGGAAGGAGATAAAGACGAGGAAAACAGAGTTCAAGCACGCGCCACGGCTACAACTGGCGAGCAGTATGAATATGGCTGGTATGCGGTGTGCGGATGTGAGGAAAAGAACTTGTAGGAGAATGGCCGTGGCAAGAAGGAGGCGATGTTGTCAGGGCGGAGGCCGTCGTTTCGATCCGTCGCGACTCAACCAGCGGACTCCCACATCTCGTGCAGTATCATGCAAAAGGAGACAGAGCATGTTGGAGGAGGTGGCGGGTATGAGGACGACATGACGGTCCTGCCATGGATGGAGGTGGCAGTGGGCGAGAGGTGGTATCGAAGCCGGGAGAAGGGTCGATGACTCGACTTGCGCATCGCCATCGATGGTGGAGAGACAGGCTGGTCGACGATACCAAGTGGGGGGGGCACGGTAAGGTGTGGATGTGTGTGAGGCTATCTGCACTTGCAGCCGCCGGCAGGGTGCGATCAGCGTGAGCTGGGAGAGCGGAGAGAGACAAGATCAACAAACTGCCGCAGTATGACTTCAAAGTCGACGAAAAGGGAAGGAGATAAAGACGAGGAAAACAGAGTTCAAGCACGCGCCACGGCTACAACTGGCGAGCAGTATGAATATGGCTGGTATGCGGTGTGCGGATGTGAGGAAAAGAACTTGTAGGAGAATGGCCGTGGCAAGAAGGAGGCGATGTTGTCAGGGCGGAGGCCGTCGTTTCGATCCGTCGCGACTCAACCTGGTTGAGCAGGGAGCCGCTGGCTAACCAGCCACACGACTTCATGGAGGCAAGGGACATTGTGTTGCGGGCTGCGGCTGCCGACGGGGGCGGTGGGCTCGGCTGCGACGTGGGGCTCATGGCTGTGCGGTCTCGCGCTCGGGCTGGCCCCCTACGGCCGCTGGCCGATGTGGTGGCGGCGGCGACGGGGGGCGGCGAGCTGGCGGATGGCGTCCTTGCCGATCTGGGCACGCATCTTGGGCGCCTCGGCCCGGAGGACGGACTCGCAGGCGTGGTGCTGCCACTTGCGGCGGCGGCGGTGCGGCAAGTGAGTGCGAGGGCGGCGCTGGGGTATCTGATCCGCGAGGAGGGACCGGCGCTGGCGGCGGCGGCGGCGCAGGTTGGAGCCATCGGCGAGCCGGCTGATACGCTGATGGTGGTGGTAGCGCTGATGAAGCTGGCACCAACGCTGAAGCGTGCCTCACGTCCGGCGAACGAGTCGGGAAACTCGCCGTGGGCGTCAGTGGCGGTCCCGGTCGGCGTTGCAGTCCTGAGGTGTGCCGCTGACGAGCCGGGGCCGACTCGGCTGACTCTCGCCGCGGCTGATATGGTGGCGATGGGGCGGATGCTGCAGGCAGAGGCCGACGCAGCTCTGGAGACACTGCTGCGGACGCATGCTCGATGGGCGGTAGGCGCAGGACAAGGCGCAATGGCGGCGGCATGGGCGGCGGTTGTCGACGCGGTGTGCGGTGGGCGCGGCCCGAGCCAGGCCGTGTGGGCTGCGGCTCGAGTCGCGCTCTCGCCTAGCCAGGCGATGGAAGTGGGTGCAGTGAGCGTGCGCAAGGCGGTGCGCCGGGCGCAGGAGGCGGTCGACTCTGGCGGCTTGGCCGGTGCCGCGCTCGCCGCGCTGGCGCTGGGGGCGAAGTTGGCGGTGCGAGGCGGCGCGCGAGTTCCGGGCCTGGTTGTGGTGGCGGATGGCGCCGCTGCCGAGGTCGAGATCAGTGGCGATGAGGCGATGGTGTGGCGGTTTACGCTGGACGTGGTTCTGGATGATGTGCTGAGGGTGAGCCGGTGGCGGGATGTGGCCGAGTTGGCGCTGCGGTTGGCGACGCAGGGATGCTGGCGGCTCGGCGCGAGCAGGGTGTTGGCGAGTGCGGCGCGACGCGCAGAGGTGAGTGTGCGGCGAATGCAAGAAAGGGTCATTCCTGCTGTTCTCTGCTCGCCGGACGCGATCACGGTCTTTCCACCTGCGGTGGTGGTGCCGGCGCTGCTGATGAAGCAGACGACGGGCGCGTCGGCTGCATTGTGGCGAGTACTGAGCAATGTGGAGCTTGTGGATGGAGGGTTGGGAGCAGTGCTCGACGTGTGTATGGCCACAACGACCGGCGATCCATCTGGAGCGAGAGCAGGCTATCCGGAATCTGCAGCAAGTTGGGCGTTGGCTGAGGTCTCGGCGTGGGCGTCGTGTCCGGAGCCACGATCCCCCGGCGAGGAGGCGCAGCTGGCGAGCATGGCGATGGCTGTTGTGGTCCGCAAAGGCATTGCGTTTCCGGCGTCGCCAATGGCAGCCAAGGTACTTGCGGCACTCTCTGGGCTGCTCTCGGCCAGTGATGACGCGGCGCAGGCAGCCGGAAGGGCGCTGAGAGACGGGGTGAGCGCGGCCATGGACCGGGTCCGGAACGTGTGCAGCGAGTCTACGCTTTTCGCACGACTGGCGCCGCTGCTGCTGCTGCAAGCTGCGCCGGGGCGTGTGCTCACCCACGCGTCAAGCGCCGAGCTTGTCGAACTGGTTGTGGCGCGGCTGCACGCCGCCAACGAGACGGCCGAGGTGCGACAGGTGGCGGCGCGGGTGCTCGGGCGGCTCGATCCAGCCCTCACTGTGGACGAGGCGACGGAGCGGGTACAGGGAGCCATGGCGCGCGGAGAGTGGGATGCAGCCGGTCGTGACGGGCGGGCACTGATGTGCGCGGTGATGAGCCACGGCGGCGAAGCCGGAGTGTCTGCCTCGGCCGCCTCTGCTGTGGCGGCCATCGGCCCGCGGCTGTGCAGAGAGAGCGAGAGTGTGCGTGACTGGATCGCATTTATGCTCACGTATGCGCTGCAGAGCGCGGCTGACGAAGAGCGGTGTGGAGGGCCCGCCGAGCGAGCGAGGCGGTGCTTGACGCGCTGCCGGAGGCTTGGGCGGTGCAGGTGGTGGCGGTGTGTGTGAAGCGGGCCAGTCCGGGACAGCGGCAGCAGCTGGCAGCCGAGTTGGAGCCGCGGATGGCAGCGGTGGCGAGTGTGACGCCTGCGGGCGTCGCGCTACTCCTCCAAACTGCGCATCAACTGATCAAGCCGCCGGTGGAGCCGGGGCCGAATGTGACGCGGCTGCTGAGCGATCTTGCGCTCCAGGTGCTGCAGCGAGGCGCAGGCACGCAAGGGCTCGACGCTGCGGTGGCAGTCGCGGGCACGCTGCTCTGCGCCGCTGACGCGGTGTTTGCGGTTGACGGCGGCAAGACGCTCATGGAGCTGCAGGCGCAGCTTGTGGTGGTGGGCGAGAGCGGGCACGCACTGGCAGCGTCGCTGGCGCAGGTGCTTGGTGGGAGCCGGACCTAGGAGGCTTTGCAGCAAGCAAAGAGGCCCTGCTTGCGGCGCGGGGCTGTGCCGACAAAGAGTCGTTGCTCTGGTCGTCCTTAGCGTAGTTGAGACGGGTAAACGTGGTGTTGGGGCGCTTGATTGTGCTCTCTGTGGGAGCAGGGTTGTGGTGGCGGTGCTTACGGCGGCGGCGGCGGCGGGAGCGCGAGGCATCGCAGGAGCTCTCCGCGTCAGTGCGGGAAGCGAGCGGGCGCGAGGAGGAGTTGCGGCGCGGCGGCGGCGAGGAGTCGCGCGCATCTGACGACGCGTCGGACGATGACGACGAGGTTGAGACGCGCGAGGCGCGCGAGGTGCGGCGGACGCGGACGTCTGCGGCCCAGGAGTCGTCCATCAGCTGGTCGACTTCGAGGAGGTAGTCACCGCTGAAGGCCTGGAACTGCTTGAGCTGCTCGCAAAGCTCGGGAGGGACGGAGCTCGCGGCCGAGAGCGAGGTTCGGCCCGAGCCGTCGGACTCGCCCGAGTACGAGGTGTATGAGAGACCAAACGAGGAGGCGGAGATAGCAGTGAAGCTGGTGATGTCGGCGTCGTTGGGCTTGTGCAGGTGTAGAGCTTGGGGTACTTGCCCGGCGACGACGGTGAGACAACCGAGAACGAGCCGACGTTGACAATCGAGGCGGAACCTCCGGTTGCCGACGACGGTGAGGAGAAAGAGGCGAGCGATGAGTCGAGAGGCGGCGAGAGAACAGCGCGGGCGCCTGTGGATGCGTACGGCATCGGGCCGGCGAGATGGGCAAGCGACGGAGGAGCCGGCGATGACGGGTCGGCGCGGGCGTCGGCACGGCTAGCGAGGAGCGGAACGAGAACGGCGGTCGGAGCGGAGGCATGGGCGAGAATGAACGGGTGCGAGAGTAAGCGTGCCGGTGGCGGGCGCGCGGCTGGGTCGCGAACACAGCAAGCTGCGATGAACGAGGCAAACTGCGGCGAGAAAGCAGCCGGATGGGTCAGGGCTGGGGCAACGGTGCCCGAGGCGATAGTGTAGAGCGCGCGCTGGACGTCCATGCTTGCTAGCGGCGGTTCGCGCTCCGCGAGCTCAATGCAGGTAATACCAAGCGACCAAATGTCGACAGCCGGCCCGTAGTCATCGCCAGTGACGATCTCGGGCGCCATCCAGTACGGAGTGCCGACAAAGGTCCGCGACGAGGCCGACGAGCCAGCGGCAACGCCAAAGTCGGAGAGGCGGACAGAGCCGTCGGCAGCAACAAGGACGTTGGAGGCCTTGACGTCGCGGTGGATGAGGCCGGAGCCGTGGAGGTGGACAAGTGCGCGGAGAATGCCGGCAGCAGCGACGGCAATCTGCGGCTCGGAGAGGCCAGCGCCGGCGCGGTGGATGCACTCTTCCAGCGAGCCGCCGGAGCAGTAGTCGAGGACGAGCCAGAGCTCCGAGTGCCACAGATAAGCCGCGTGGTAGGAGATGATGTTGGGGTGCGAGCCGGCGGCGACGAGGGCGTGGATCTCCTTGGCGAGGGCGGCGATGCGGTCGGGCGCGCCGTCTACAAAGACAACTTTGAGCGCTAGCGCCTGCCCGTCGCTGCCCGGAGCCTTTGCCCGGCCAAGATAGACCTTGCCAAACGCACCATCACCCAGCACAGCCTCACGCTTGTACACCTCGCGGGGATCTCTGTCTGTGGTCACGCCCAGCAGCTGCAGCTCGTCTCGGAGTGCAGGCGGGAGGTCTTGGTGGGACATGGCGCGCAAGTTGGTGTGGCGTGGGGAGGGAGGGGGAGGGGGAGGGAGGGAGGGAGGGAGGGGGGGCTGGTGGAGTTGTGTGGTTGTGTGTGGGTAAGAGGTCTGTGCTTGGTGCCTGGTGTGGGGTGCTTGGTGTGCGGGTGTGGGTGAGAGTGGCGGGTGGGCGTGGCGGGTGAGCGTGACGGGTGAGCGTGGCGGGAGAGTCTGCCGATGTTCGGTCGGCAGAGAGACGCATGCGGCGGTGTGCGGTGGTGAGTGGTTTGGGGTTTGGCGGGAAAAAGAAAAAAAATATAGAATGGAGATTTCCCCAGAGTTGCACAGGCGTGTAAGAAAGGTGCCGCCAGGTGAACGGGTGCAACAGGGAGGGGTGGAAGGCGGAGGAGGGGAGGGGGAGGGGGAGAGGGAGAGAGAGGTGAGCGTCAGGAGGGGTTATACTTGACTCTGAGAAATAGAAGAGATTATGTTGAGCGCAGCTGCACGTGTGTGCGGAGGAGCAGGGGTGTCGGCACGGATGGCGGCAGGAGTGGTGGCGGCGGGAGGCGGGCGTGCTGCTGACTGGAGCGAGTTTTCTGCGGCGGCGGCTGCTTGGAGCGGGCCGACCAAGGAGCACATGAGCCACTCGGAGGCGTTTGTGGAGACGCTGGCGGCGTATGGGGTGAAGAACGTGTTCGGAGTCGTCGGCTCGGCGTTCATGGACGCGCTCGACCTGTTTCCTTTTGCCACACCGGCCGGGAGCTCCAAGCAGGGCATCCGATTCGTGCAGACGGCGCACGAGCAGGGCGCGGCGCACATGGCGGACGGCTACGCGCGGGCGTCACAGCAGCACGGCGTGTGCATCGGGCAGAACGGACCGGGCGTGTCCAACTGTGTGACCGGGATTGCGGCGGCGTACTGGGCCCACTCGCCGGTGGTCATGATCACGCCCGAGTGCGCGTCGGTGAGCAAAGGCCTCGGCGGCTTCCAGGAGCTCGACCAGGCCGGCGTCTTTGAGAAGATCACCAAGTACCAGGCGCTGGTCAACGCGCCGAGCCGAATGGCGGAGCTGACCGGACGGGCGTTTGACTACGCCACGGCTGAGAACGGGCCGACGCAGCTCAACATTCCGCGTGACTTTTTCTACGGCGAGGCTGAGCACGCCATTCCCACGCCGCGACCGTTGCATCACCCTGCTCCGGCGGCAGCAGCTGTCGACGCGGCGGCAGAGGCCATCCGCAGCGCCCGTAACCCGGTCATCATTGCCGGCGGCGGCGTGGCGGCGTCGGCAGGCGGGCCCGAGGCAGCGGCGGCGCTTGCCGAGGCGCTCTCGGCACCGGTTGTCACCTCGTACCTGCACAATGACTCGTTCCCGGCATCACACCCGCTAGCGGCCGGCCCACTCGGGTACTGCGGCTCTCAGGCGGCGATGAAGACGATTAGCGAGGCCGACGTTGTTGTTGCACTCGGCTCGCGGCTCAACCCGTTCGGGACGACGCCGCAGTACGGACACGACTACTGGCCGCACGACGCGACGCTCGTCCAGGTCGACGTCGACCATCGGCGGCTCTCGCTGACCAAGCACGCTGATGTGCCGATTGCGGCCGATGCCGGCGAGACGGCACGGGCTCTGGTTGCAGCGCTGCAGACCGGCGAGACACCGGCCAGTGCAAGCTCGGCCGAGACGCGGCTGGCACAGCTGGCGGAACGCAAGCGCGCATGGACGACGCTGCTGGATACGTGGTCGCAGCCAGACGCCGGCGAGGAGCGGGTCAAGCCACGGGCCGCGCTCGCGGCTCTCCGCGATGCAATGCCTGCCGACGCCATCGTGACGACCGACGTGGGGAACACGTGCTCGGTCGCCAACGGCTACCTCCATTTTGAGCAGCCACAGTCGTTCATGGCGGCGATGACGTTTGGCAACTGCGGATACGCATACCCAGTGGCGCTCGGAGCCAAGCTTGCGGCGCCGGAGCGGCCGGTGGTGGCGTATGTCGGCGACGGGGCGTGGTCGATGTCGCTCATCGAGACGATGACCGCCGTTCGCGAGAACCTTCCGGTCACCGCGGTCGTCTTCTCCAACAACATCTGGGGCGCCGAGAACCTCAACCAGCGCATCTGGTTCGGCGACCGGTTTGTGGGCTCGGAGCTGACGAATCCATCGTACGCCGCCGTCGCCGAGTCGATGGGCGCGGTCGGGATTCAGGTCTCGGCCGCCAGCGACGTGGCTGGCGCGTTCAAGGAGGCGCTTGCGCATCAGGCGGCTGGGCGGCCGACCGTGCTGGAGATCCTTACAACCAAGGAGCTCGGCGAGCCGTTCCGGCGCGACGCCATGCGCTACCCGAAGCGGGTGCTTGCCAAGTACCAGCACACGGACGTGTCCGAGCCGTCGGCGTAGTAAACGTTTGTTGGAAAGTGCTACACACCGGTGGCCGAGCTGCGCGAGTCAGAGCCGCGGCGACTGCGGCTACGACTGCGACTGCCAGTGCCATCGACGTTGGCGAGTTCGATGCCCGACGAGTTGGGGGAGGAAGTGTCTGCGGCGGCGGCCTGTGGCGATGTCGCAGCCGACGACATGTTGTCGACGACGTGTTTGGCACGACGGAAGAAGATGAAGGCGAGACGCCACCGTTGCCGCCGTACGCGACGTGAAGGGCAATCTTACCAAACAGCCAGGCTTGACTCATGATGAGGAGCGGCTCTGTAACGCAGATGGCGACAAAAGCAGACATGGCGTATAGCAAGGCCAGTGCCGGGAGGTTGAGCGCGTATCCGTCGAGCCAAGTTGGCAGTAGAACGAGGACAGCATTGATGCCGGCGAGGAGAAAGGCGACGAATGCAGCGAGTTCGATGCCCGACGAGTTGGGAGAGGAAGTGTCTGCGGCGGCGGCCAGCAGCCACTTGACCAGCGGCACACCCGACGCGGCAGCAATGAGGGTGCCGAGGACCGAGACCAAGAGCGTCTGCTGGATACGGGCGAAGCTGATAGCATTGTCGTTGGCCTCAAAGGCGCCCGGATCCAGCAGCGGAATGAGGGCCGAGGTGGTGAGCATGGTCTCCAGTTTGAGGAGGAGGGCCACGCTCCGCCCGATCCGCGGGTACATGGCGACCTCGGCCGCCGAGGCCACCACAATGCCTGTGACCGAGTGGGTGTGCAAGACCAGCTGGTCGAGGTCCACGCCCAGCCAGTGCTCGGGCTGTGCTCGGTACTTGCGCCGCACCCTGCGCTTGATAGTCATCCGCAGCATAAAGGCGACCAGGATGAGGAAAACCACCAGGTAGACCAGCACCATTGCGGGCGACCGGGCAGGCTCGTCCGACGCAAAGACCCCGCTTGCGGTCTTTGCCTCCTGCGGTGAGACATCGACGGGTGGTGGCGGAGGCGGCAGTGACGGCAAAGGCGGTGGCGATGGTGGCAGTGGAGGCGATGGCGGCGGCGGCAGAGCGGAGGCGGAAGCACACGCGCCGTTACCGGTCGCACCGTCGACGCAGATCAGCGGATGTGGGCAGGTACACGCAGTACATGCTGGGCCAAAGATCCAGCCGGGCAGACTGTGCATGCGCCCTCTGGAGAGCAGGCGGCCGGGCCGAGGCCGGCGCAGACAGAGCCGCGGAAGAGAGGCGGCAGAGCGTAGCACGAGGCGTTGCCGGCATGAGCCACGCTGTGCTTTTGCATGAGGCCAAACGCCATGGCGTTGACGGCGTCAGCATCGACAGCCTCGTTGACGACAAGAGCTTCATACAGGTATCCCTTAAAGGAGCGGTCCGCGAGTCCGGAGCCCTCGAGCATGTCACGAACCTCTCGGTAGCGGGCGCCGATCATGATGTGGTTGTTGAGATGGACGTGAGAGGGAATGGTGTTCTCCAACACGCCGTCGATCCAGAGCATGGTGGCGGTGGTGTTGTACGAGAGCACCGCCACATGTTTCTTGCCATCCGCCACGTTTGTGGTGCTCATGTCAGCCGAGCCTGGATAGTCCAGGACAACTTTTGTCGGACCACTGCCGGCGAGCGAAATGCCATGGGCCGCATCATGGTTGGCAACCGTGCTGCCCATCGAGATGAGAACGCCTGCACAGCATGAATGGCTGGTGCCTATGTCCTCAAAAACGGCAAAGTAGGTGACTGCTGGGCCGATGACGCCTGTGCCACGCAGGATGTCGTCAACACCGTCAAAGTACACGGCGTGTCGAGTGGCGTTTCCCACAGGCAGAGCGGTGAGAATCGGCTGGCGCCATGGCGTCTTCTGCACTGCATGCGTGAGCGTGACCGAGGCCTCACCTGTGGCAATGTTGGGCCACACGCCGATCGAGGAGCCGGGCGCGTGGCCGCTTGTCACCAGCTCGTCGGCTGAGAGCCACAGGGCCACCAGCGGGTGTGTGCGGTTGGGGGCGAGGACGCCGTTAGCAAATATGGAAGCCGGCGGCCGGTATGGCTTGCATAAGGCCTCCATGATGATGCCGTTCCTCTGAGGGTTGTTCTCGTCGCCTGTGCAGGGCGGTGTGTCGACAGCGGACTCCCAGGTGACATGCTTGTCGCAGCCGCCAACCCGAAACTTGATGCCGGCCATGTACTCGTTGTGATGACAGAGGACACCGACGCGCTCCAACAGTTGCGGCTGCTCTACAGAAGTCCAAGCGGCCACGTGGACGGGAGCACCGACGCCAACACTCCGCCACACGCCCGGTGCCGAGGCGACGGCCGGGTCGGTGAGATTGGCACATGTTGACCGAAAAGCAAGACCTTCTTGGCCGATGGGCGAGACACACTGCGTGGAATCCACCACACCCGTGGTCCAATCTGAGGGGTTGTTGCAACCACCGCTGCGAGCAAAGCGGAACTTTTGAAGCGCGGTACCAGCTGGACACTCAAAACCGACCTTGGCAAGATCAAGGAGCGAGGTCATGACACCGCCGTACGGCTGCATGACGTTGGAGAGGTTAATGTCGTGAATAACGCCGCCCAGTGATGAGCCCGCGAGGCAGCGAGCCTGGCCGGCGAGGCCGCCCCAGTTCGGAGACTCTCTCAGCTGGACAACAGCGCGCGGCACCGCCGAGGTCACCGGGTCAAGGTAATTGTCACGGCCATGCGAAGTGTGCAAGTGTGAGCCCACACGGCGGAAACGGGCGCCGTTCATGACGTAGCCATCGGGGCAGTCAACAAAGAAGCGGTCGAGATAGTGAATGTCCTTCATGGCCACACCGGCGGTCTCGGAGACGGTCCAGTGTGTGGCGGACGGGCCGACAAAGTGGAGAGGCAACCAATCATGGTTGCGGAAAGCTGGAAAGTCAACCCGCAGGATGCCCGACGTCACGATCTCCAGAGCCTGAGAGCCGATGTCCAAAAAGCCGTTGAGCTCAAGCAAGACGGACGAGGCCGTCGAGTTTGCCGGCAAGGTATGAAGCGGCGGACTGGAAGTGGCCTCGCGCCCGTTGATACGGATGGAGTAAATGGGCGAACTGTACCAGACAGAGACCTGCAGGCTACCGGCGGTACAGGCAGCAACCGGAGGATCTACGTTCGCCCTCCAGTTGTCCGAGTACGGCATGGGCATGGAAAAGTCGAGCGAGTAGACATGCGGGCGAGGCGGGTAGGGCTGCGGCCAGGCAGCACTCGTGCCGATCCAGGCAGATGACGGACCGTTGCTCGCAAATGGAGGTGACGGGAAGGTTGTCACCTTGACAGGAGTTTCCCCGGAGACTCCCGAATAGCCATTGGTAACCTTCCAATGAGCGTCGGATGCGCCACCGGCATCATAAGCGTTGTTGCTCAAGGCCATGGTGGAGAGGAGGCCGAGAGCCTCATTCTCCTCGAGTGTCGCCAAATCAGAGCCACATCTGTAGAGGCCAGCACGGTTGTAAACCGCTCTGGAGTCGTACGCCTGGCAGGCGTGTGAGCCGGTGACCTCCTCGTTGACGTCGCGGTAGATCTCGAGCGAGGAGTAGACTGCGTTGGAAGGCGAGAAAGTGAGGCGCAATAGGCGCGAGCGGAGGCCGTTCTGACGCAGCGAGCGGAAGACGCCAGAGAGGGGACGGGCATTGACGCCGCGCGTGCCCGAGTCAAGTAATTGCCACTGCGTGGTCCCGTTGTGCCCACCGCCTTCTACAGCCGCAACCTCGAGGGACCACGAGGTGGCCATGAGGTGGCCCAAGGCCGGGTCCGAGTCGGAGAAGCGCCAGCCCGCGACTGCAGGTTGAATGTGAGTGCTGGAGATCGGGTCAAAAATCGGGTCGAGCTCAAGGACAATGGGCGAGGAGAGGGCGGCAAGAGCGGGTGCATCGAGGCGGGCCATCGAGTTGTTGAAGAGTGCGGTAGCGACGCCGTACGTCTCTGTGTTGTCCGGGTCGAGGACGACAGTGGTGCTGACCAGGGCCTCCCCGCGGACGGGCCAAAGAGAGAAGCCGAGGCCGGGCCGTAGTAGAGAGTGTAGCCGAGGGTGCTGGAGAACGACTGCGCACCGAAGACAAACGGTACCGGCGAGGCCGACGGAAGAGTACGGACTGCAAAGGTGAGTGTGAAGAGATCTTCGGCCAGCACGACGTCAAAGGAGATTCCCTCGGTCGCGTGGACAAAAGAGATGGTGAGGACGCGGCGCGGTGCCTGGCCGCTCACAGCGTAGGTGACGCCAGTCATGGACAACGACGCATAGTGCGGGGCATAGAGACCGACAAAAGGTACGTAGCGCGGTGACGGCAGCGGCCGGACCGGCTGGTCCGTCGGCCACGGCTGGAATGAGGCAAACGTGGGGTAGAGATAGAGCTTGGTGAGCAGCGGCGCCTCCTTCCACAGGCGAAAGGCAAACGGTAGGTGGATGGCGGTGCCTGCAACGGGCACGGCTGCCCCGCCGGAGCCAGCGGTGACCGGCGATGGAACGGGAGAAGTAGCGTCGGTGATGACGCGATAGTCGTTGAGGGCAGCGGGGTAGTTGAAGGTTCGTCCGCCGTCGACAGCCACGGCCTGGCCGTCACACCAGAGCGAGATTTGAGCGGAGAACCATCCGGCCGGATTGGACCGACTCATGCCCGACCACGAAAAGGCGGCGTTGGAGGCAGCGATGCCGTTGCGGGCAAAGTACACCGACTCGAAGCCACGGGCAAGGACCACGCTCATCTCGATGGTGTCGCCAGGGAAGACCTCGAGGAGCGGGTGCGTGCCTGCGAAGCCACCGTTGACATACACATCACCGCGGGCACAGATCGAGACAGCATTCGTATGCAAAAACAGCACGTGGGCTTCGGCGAGATAGCCATCGCCCACACCCACACAGAGTGTTTGGGACGTGGACGGCCGGCAGACATCGTCGAGGAGCTTGAACTGATACACGAAGGGATCCGAGGTGTAACGCTCCACGCCATGACCAATACGAGGCAGCACCTCACGCGTGGCCCATGAGTTGTTGGCGACCGCAGTCCGCGTCACGATGTTGCTTTCGGCAGTTGAGGTCATGGCGGCGCTGCCCGTGAAGAAGTTGGGGCGAGCTGGAAGGTAGGAAGGCCGCGAGGTGCCAGCCGTGTCAGCCAACGTGCAGAGAAGGAAGTTGGCGAGGGCGAGGCAGAGCATGGCCACCAGGCAAGAGGAGGCGGTGAGCATGGGACGGGTGGCTGGTATGTGAAGGTGGTGGGGTGGGGTGGAGTGGTGTGTGTGTGTGGTGGGGGGTGGGGGGGGGGGTGGGGGGGGTAGGGGGGGGGGGGGAAGGAGGGTAGGGTAGGGTAAGGGTACGGGG